TGCGCGTGTGAATGCACGTGCGTAATGACCATATAATCTTGTCTTCACAATCTATAGATTTTAATATACTAAATATCAAAGTATTTAATCCAAAAGTATTAAAAAATACACTAATTTATGTGTAATTTTGATTTTACTCATTTTACGTGCACGCACGTGCTCACATGAGCATGGCCACCATACTTTCTTGTAGAAGTCCATTACACCTATCTATGTTCTAAATCCCACCCCATTTGGTTGAAAACCAAGGGAGTTATAGCTGTTCAAAGTTTCAGCCAATCAGATTGCAGGGCACGTACATGCACGTGTATGCATATGCTTGGTGACCGTATCTTCTTGTAGAAGTCCATTATATCTATCCATGTTCCAAATTCCATCCTGTTTGGTTGAAAACCAAGGGAGTTATAACTTTTTAAAGCATAAGCCAATCAAATTGCAGCGCACGTGCATGCACGTGTTTTCATGATAATTACTATAAATCTTATTGTAGGATATCCTAATACATGCCTATGTTTAAAATTTCAAAGGATTTGGTCAAAAAACCAGAAAGATATTGAGACTTTAGTTTCAGCCAATCAGAGCGAAGCGCACGTGCATGCGCGTGAGATCTTGCTTTTTTGATCATGTCATCTTGTTTACGCTACTAATATATCCTTACATTATAAATTTCAAAAGATTTCATCAAAAAATAGAAAAGTTACGGCTATATCCATTATATTGGTCATTTCACGTGTTGCACGTGCGCGCTCTTGCAAGCACGTGCAAGCAAAATGGCATGTTGACAATGTCATTTTATCTACATTTATAATATGTCTATATATTCTAAATATCGAAGCATTACATTAAAAAATGTAAAAGTTACGGCAATTTCAAGTATATTGGTCATTTCACGTGTTGCACGTGCGCGCTCTTGCAAGCACGTGCGCGCAAAATGACCTTCGTTCCGCAAATCTACATAACATGCCTACTTATCCTAAAAAGGTTTCCCCTTAATCGGATGTGTACTTTACAAGATCATTCGCGGACAAAATTTTCCCAAGAAGAAAAATAATAATAACTAGAGCAAAGCTCGTTGCAAAGCAACGAGTAGGTCTTCCGTCCTGTTTGACCGGAAGTAGTATTAATTTTTAACAAAAATGAGAAATAACGCCTAAAAATGGTTTGAATCCTCTAACGCTATGTTAATTAATGCAAAAATAAGCAATTTTTTGTTACTTCCGGTTTGACCGGAAGTGACGACGACGGTCGAAAAATTATTTTTTTGCTTCTAGAGACATTTGTTACCAAAAAACTTGTCAAGAACGGCAAAAATACGCGTTTTTCGACTACTTCCGGTTTGGCCGGAAGTGACGACGCCGAACGTTTTTTGATGACTTCAATAGATTAAGCTTGTCATTTTGAACAACTTTGCTTCTTTGACGTATTACAAATTCTCAATACGTTTTGAGATATAAAGAAAAAACTGTCGGCCCCTCTAGGCCCTTAAATTTAGGGGTCAGCCCTTTTTTCGAGATATCATTTGAAAAATCTTTAAATTCTACACTTCTTTTGTTCTTAATGTATTCAAAAAATATTTTCAGGTAAAAAGATATCGAAGAAAAGGTGTGAGAAATTTTGAAATTTGTGATAAGTCTATTTTCAGGCCATAGCGAGCGCCGACGAGCGTCATTTCCAGTAAATTTGATATACCTGATGCACCTCTCCAGACATAGCTCTACTTACCCTCAAAGTTTGAAGTTTCTATCTAGAGCCGTTTTTCGGGAAAATTGTGGACAAAATGACCCTTAAAAATAAGGAAATTGACGATATCTCTAGACCGGAAGTGACGTCATCGAAACGGAAAAAAACGCATAAAGTTCAAGTGATGTTCCATACGTCCTGAAAGTTTCATAAGATTTTGTTGAGCCGTTTTCGAGAAATGGCGTGCACAAAATCGGTAAGAAAAAAAAAATAATAATAAAAGTGAAAAAGAAACCGAAGAAAAACAATAAGGTCTTCCGCTGAAGACGGAAGACCTTAATAAGAAACAGAGTAAAAACAATATGTTCCCCAACTTCGTTTGGGGAACATAATTACAAGATAATGTTTCTACGGTTCTTTAAACATCAATACCTACAAGTAAAATTAAACTAGAACTGTCCGATAGGGACAAATATCCCTGCTGGATTTTTCAGAGAAGATGCCAATTCACAAATATTTTTTTGGATCTAAGAGGTGTTCACAATTTTCTTTTACAAATTACACTGAAAATATAATTGCTCATTTTATTCTTTAATGATTGAAACAAAGGTGCAACCAAATACAACATTAATATAGTAATACATTGTAATTCCAATGTACAATTTGTTTTATTCCATTGAAAAAATAAATTGCAACTACATGCGTACCAGTATGTGTCATTACACACTAAAAACTGATGTTGAAAAAATCATTATACAAAACCAAATTAATCTTGGTAACTTCAAATGAAATTCATTTAAACAATGATAAAGAGCAGTTTATCCAGTGATTAAGTGCTAAGGGCTTTGACAGACAATAAATTACAATGAAGAGAATTATAGAAAAGAGATCTTAAATTCTTGTGCCTAATTCCCAAGAGATAAAAATAACACATACTTGAGAAGAGGTGTCTTAACAACTTCCCACATCAAACTCATTAATTTATCTATTACTCGATGCATGTCAATTCATTGCTCTTAAGACACAAATGAATTAACATTATTTTCTCTGTAATGTAAAAACTGTTTTTGACAATTAATGATGTTTCTTTGTTAGTTTTAATGAGTAGTTTTAAGCTGCAGTTCACATTTTGCACAGATATTATAGATCCTATGTCATAAACCTTGCACATAAACCCAAAATAAACAAGTAAATCAAAATAAAAAAACCATGAAACTTGTAAATGCAGAGAAACTAACAAATAACGTTCAAAATTCTAGTTGCATACCTTCATATGGTGAATAATAAGTATACAATTAGTTGCAATAGTTTCTGAGAAATGGTCTGCACAAAACCACAAAATATAAATAAAAAAAACCAAATGTTAAATGCTAAATGATAATCCAATTAAAATGAATATACAGGGTAATTACTTTCATATGATGATTAATATGTGTACGAATTTTCAGGCAAATCCTTTCAACATCTTTTGAGACACGGGCCGGACAAAATCTTGTCTACAGACAGTGGACATCGTGATTCTAATACCCACCCACCCCCCCTAACTTCGTTTTTTGGGGGGTATAATTTATTTACAAATATACTGAAAGAAAAAGAAACACAGGGTAAACTTTTGAGGTGAATTAAATTTGTTTTTCATAAAATATGTATTAGTTTTCCTATCTTACTTAAAATATCATCTTTCAAAAAGATATCAGCAAATTCCCATTTGATTTTGTCTAATAACTCATGAGTTAATGAAGCGCAAATGGTGAAACCCCTAAAAGTGAAAATCAAAAACTCTCGTTATCTTCAATGTCTCTCCCATGCATCTGTCAGAGCCTTATTTCTCCTTTGCATGGAATTTCGTCAGAGTGTTTATCATTCAAACCCTGGATATATTTGAAATGGGTAACCACGCAAAAAAAATAAGTCAAACGGTTGGCGCATGTGCCAGTGAGAAGAATAGTAACAGTAAGTTGACTGGCTCAAAAAACAAAATTGCAGAATTGTTTTCTTTAAAATTCGTTTGAATGTAATGATTATACATGTAATCGTCTACTGTATAAATGGCTGCTTTTGTGTTAGTAAGGTGGCGATTTAAGAGATTGCAGGACGAATAACCCACTCGTAAAATGGCTCTGTTTCGCCTTAACCTCACAGTCACGGTTGATTGAAAACCATCCAAGACCCTCTCTGACAACGGGTTACAAGTTTAATTTTGGGAAAATGTACAAGAAACTGCTTAGTAAACCATCGTTGCCTTTTTCATTAATTAGGCAATTCAAAAACAAGACCCCATTGAACTTCTGTAAACTGTGCAAAGATTGCAAGAAATTCATAATGTCTCTTAATATTGAAAAATGATGTGCATATTTCACATGCATCAAATAATGCAACAAGATTTGTTGGCAAACTTGTCGTCATCAAAGTGCACGTGTTTTGGGGTTTTTAGCGTTTTCCATACGCGACGTCATAAATTTTATGGCTGGGCAATTCTGAACACAGATTTTCGAGCACAGAAACTAAATTTGGTGGACCAGATTCCGACAAAAATTAGATTATATATTTTTATGGAAAAAAATAATCTTAATTGATCTCACAATATTTGTACATGTATCCGATTTGTAAATATTACTTTTTTAAAGATAATTTTTAAAATTCTTTTCTCCCTTGAAAAAAATGCTATTATTATCATCTTTCTTATTGACATACTTAAAAATGTTTCAGTTATATTAATGTTTTACGGACATTTAATGCTTTGCGTCAATCTGAAATGTTTACGTTTGTTAGAAATTACCGCGTAGCGTTAAAAATGTTGATATAGGAATAATATTATTATAATATCAAAAGTAACCCACTGGCTTAAGCTAGCAGAAAGCCACATCTGTGTTTCTGATCAATGTAATTATTGTACAGTTGTCAAAATATCTATAATGCTCTAATTATCTAATATATTAAATTGTGAGTAAAACTTGACGATCACAGTACCAATGGTTTCTCTATAAGTGAGAGATTTCAATTATATCTTTGGTCTTAAGTACCACCGGTTATTTAAACATACACAGTTTTGTTACTTTTATTTTTAAAAAAAAAAAAAACCCCATACAAAACAGTGTAAAATTTACAGATAATAAAATTTTAGATGTGATAAATGTCTCCCTTATTGTCCACAAATTGGCTTGTTTTAATAATATATATTTAGAAATAATTCATTTTGTAGCAACGTACGGCTCATGCAATTTATTATAACGGTTTATGAACTAAAATGTTTATTTGTTTATTTTTTTGTCTATTCTAAATAAACAATTGATTATATCAATAATATATATTTCATTCAGGCGCGGTGAACTGGAATCTTGTTTTAAAACCTGTTTTAACACGAGGCACCGGCAAGGAGCTAATTTTATGTACAAACAACAATACTGCTACTGAAAATGTGAATGTACTGTATATCTATCCAGGCATAACTGAAAATGCAGTAAGTATTATTTTAATGACAACACAAACAAAACATGTCAGTTTTGCCTTTAGTTTGGCAGCAGAAAAATACCTAGGGTGTTACATGAATAGAGAAACTTCATAAATATAGAAAAAAAATTCAGTGAAAGTTTACAGGTGAAAAAACTTAAGAATATGTTATCTTGGTGCTAAAACTGTAATATAAACTTAAGAAAAATATACCAAGCCAGGTTAATTCTATGAGGGAAAAAAAACAAAATGGTAAAAACAGCCTCTGTGATCTTGCTGATTTTTTTTCAAATTTTGTTTTTCCTCTTTCCTAAACTTGTGACATGATATTTAGTCTCTTCCAAAGAAAAAAAAATGTTTGTATCATCTGTCCTTAAGCATTAAAAAAATCACTGATGTATTTATTGCGGTTTTACTTTTAGGGCGCTAGTTCACAATTTTTCCAAACAACCCACTCATACATCATTTACAACTTAGATAAATCTAAAAATATATGAAATTCAATACATATTTTTTTCAGCGATTGTCCATAACTACGTACTTTAAATATGATATCTATAATCAATATTTTCTTTCAGATGAATTTCGTGCCTAGTGCTCTTATTCTACGTTCATTTGGAGCTGGAAATGTTCCAGATATAGTTCTTCAGACATTAAAAACTTGGAAGAACTCTGTACTCGTTGTCAACATTTCACAGTGTGAAGGTGGCAGTGTTAGTTCTACATATGCTATTGGAACAGTAAGGCAACACTTGTTAAAACATAAAAAGCGCTTTCATTGTTTTCTTCAAACATTTTAACCAATTTAAACTTTTGATTTTTTTTTTCTTTTTTTTTTTACAAAATCTACAAGATAAACAGAAAGTTAATGTTTTTTCACATTAACTAATATTCGCCAGATCTTTGACATTTTGACATGTTTCTTTTCAAAACTTGAAGAAAACTCCTTTCAAAAGGAAGAAACAAGTCAAGGAAATCATTGGATCTGCCATTTCCCAGTACAACAAGGATCATACCCAAAAATGAGTTCTAAAATCAATCAGAAATTGGATAAAAAATGTTACGGACATGTGTTTTAATAAAAAGAGATTCATAAGTAAAATCGTGAAGACTAAATCATTGAAAAGCGTCTTTTGCTTCTTTCTGAGCACCGAGGACATTATTTATTGAAAAGCCCTCGTTCTATATACGTATTATAAACAAATATCACTTTTATTGTAATTGCACAATACATAAACATCTGAAGCTCTCCTTGATATTTTGTACACAAATAGCCTCATTTTTGACACTGGATACTTCTCGGTTGGCGACATTAGAAGAGTTAATAGATAATGCCGCTTGGGTATCAGAATAGGTGGTTCCACCAGTAATCAGAATATTTTGTAAATCAATGTTGAGTTTTCCAATGAGGCTCCACAAAACAGCTTAACATACGAGGGTTGTCCAAAAAGTTTGGGGACAATGACGATTTTGCTAAAAGAAATGATTATTTATAATTCTCTTGTATATCAAAATATTTCGTATGAAAACCGTAAGAGTAATTTAATTTTTATTGATGGAACTAAATATTTATGTAAAAAAAATCGTGGCCTTTATAGGTTGCAGATAGTTCGCACGAACCAGACTGACGTTAAGCTAATTTCTTATAACGCCAAACATTTTGATTTTGAATTTTAAAACATTCTCATGGACACGCACTACATTTTTTATGGCTCCACACTTTTAAGTGCTAGCAAGAATATTCAAGTATAGAGTAAAGTTATTTAATTTTTAAAATGCAAAACAACACAAAAATTTACGTGCGTCATCAATGTAAAAAACTTTGTATACACATACTGCGTAACCCAGTCCGAGGCTGTGGTAGATTTTTAACAACGTCATGAATAGAAATCTAAATTTTCAGCAAATTACATTGTGATTTATATTCTTCTAGTGTCTTCAAATAGGTACACACGGTTGAAAAATCGTATAAAATCAATTTCAAATACATAAACTAAATATGTTTCAATAATTTTGAGTTGTTTAAGCAAATATTTTGTCTCTTACATCGTTTCAAACGTATAAAAATATTTTTTTTGTAAGGGGTTGCCTCGTTCGGACGGCCGACGTCGCCTTTTCTGTGAAGTTTTGACACATATTTGTAAGGGTTTTCGTTTAGTATTTTCACTGTCTTTTTAGTAAGCGATACTTCAGATTTCAGAAAATGATCATAGTCTCTTTATTTGTGTTACATATAATTTTGATAAAGTTTTGATTTTTTTTCTTATAGAAAATAATCATTTCAATCCGAAAACTTTTTATCAGAGTTTATGGCATTTTCAACGTGGTCCGTGCGCACCTTCTGCGATCTTAAAAGACCCCGATTTTTATAAAAATATGTAGTTCCATCAATAAAAATTCATCATTCTGACTGTTTTTCATAGAAAAAGATTTTGATATACAATAGAATTATATAAATCCATTCATTTTAATCAAAACGTCATTGTCCACGATTTTTTTGGAAAACCCACGTATGTTTACTTCTATCGTTTGAATGACTCTCCCCAACAAGCTCATAGAAGGAAGGAAACACAATGTAGTCCATGCTATACTAAAAACTGTACAGCAACCGCCGTAGGATCTTGTAACTACGAGACGTATGTAGATAACCGTGTTTTAATTCTGGAAGCAAATAAATCAATGTCAGAGGCTTCCAGCTGTTTACAAATGTTTTGAAACATGGTCTTGTCTAAAATACATTCCATATCCTTAGATAAATTTTTGACGGTTTGTCTTCTTCTAAGTCTTTTCTAGCCTCTGGAAGATCACAAGCACTTAATCAAATAGTTCAACATTTACATAAAAGCCATATTTCTTCTGCAAAGTTGTGTAATATTGCAATTTCATCTCCCATATTCTGTAAATTGGAGACAGCCCCTTCATTGTCCATGCATAACTTTCTATGACAATCTTTCATAAAAGATCTAGAGCAAACACCTTTTTAAGATCAAGAAACCAGCCTAAAAGTTCCAAATATTTAATATAATTCTGTTAGTCTGTATAAGACCTGTGTTCCTATTGAACAGTAGTAGTCCAAGCCATCCTGAGCCTGAACTTTCTCTCTTTAAACCCACATGTCGATCAGGTCTATTGATAGGATACATGTAGAAAATTATTTGGAGATTGTTCATCTACCATGCTCAGAGATCTTGAACTGGTACTGATATTTTAATACTTGAATCACAGTCACCTTTGGCATATTTTAATGCTAATACACATTCACTAGGAACTTCTCGAGCATTATTTTTGTTATTACCGGAAGTCGTTTATTGACATTTTGAGCCCAATTCAAAATGAGCATGTGTTTTGGATCTTATTTCACATTGGGGTTCTGTCGTATAATTCCTCATATTAGTCTCTCAATAAAATAATTCAAAGTTTCTTTCCCTGCAGATCAACAATTAGTGGGTCTTGTCCAAATTTTGGCTCAGTGTTCTATGAATTCTCTAACCAAGAATTGGGTGCATGTAAAAAGGAAGAATTTGAACCACAAATTTGGCTTATAAATGACAGCAAACCACTCCCGCCTGGCATTCTGTATATACAGAAATTATGTCAGTGTTCGGAATAGCTTTCAAAAGATTAACACATTAGAATGCTGAAAAAGCTCAAAATAACGGATGAAATCAATAAAAACGAGAGAGATGAAGATCTATGCACGTCTTTGTTAACAAAGAAACCCAAGAGCACTGACCATCACGTGATCTTGAAGCAGTCACACTGGTTCTCTCAGTACGGAATATTTAGTAAAATTGATGTATTATTTCAGATTACTCGTGTGTCATCCCAATTTAGGATTTTTTTCTGCTTGAATTCATTTACTTAGACCTTTCAATTGTTTGAAATATACACAAGAGATAACAAGCAAGTTCAAGAAATTGTGGTACCCCGCTTTCGGTGTCTTTGTGGGTGAGGTGTCATTCTTATGACGTATTGTGTAATATGAACACACAATCATATGTCAATTATTTAGAAATTATCACTGAACTCCAAGGTCAAGGTCAAAGGTTAAACGTTCTTGGTATCCAATGAAAAGATTTCTCACAAGGATTACATTTGTGAAGTATGAAAGCCCTAGCCCTTACCGTTCAAAAGTTATGGCCAAGGTCAAAGTTTTTGAAAAGTAGGTCAAGGTAAAGGTCAAAGACAAATGGACAAAGTTCTTGCTATGCAATGAAAGAATGTAAGGTCTTCTCACAAGATTTACATATATGAAGTATGAAAGCCCTAGCCCTTGCCGTTCTAAAGTTATGGTCAAGGTTTTTTCATAAGCACGGAAATCTCCAAGGTCAAGGTCACAAGGTCTAAGTTGTTGGTATTCAATAGAAGGTCTTTTCACAAAAAATATATATGTGTAATATGAAAATCTTTATATCTACCATTCTGAAGTTATGGTCAAAGTAAAAATTTGGAATTTTTGTGCAAAAGTGAGTCAAACTCCAAGGTCAAGGTCAAAGGTCAAATTAAGTGGTACCCAAAGAAATGTCTTATCACAAAGAATACACATTTGAAATATGAAAGTCATAGCTCTACTTAATCAAAAGTTATGGAAAAGGTAAAAGTTTTTGTGACGGACTGACAGAAGAACAGGTACACAGACTGATAGACGGACAGCTAGACAGACTGATGGACATAGGAATGAGATTTAATGTCCCATCGCTAAAGCAGGGGACAAAAAATGATAGCGAGGAAAATGCACAAGAAACAACCGCTATTTGATCATTTTATCTCTCTCTCTCTCTCTCTCTCTCTCTCTCTCTCTCTCTATATATATATATATATATCCCCTCAAAATAACACCAAGTAAATATATTTTTGTTATTACCACGTTTAGGAACTTGAAGGTATTGGTGTTGTAAACGGAGGTGATATGACGTTTGAGGCAGCATACACTAAGCTCTACATAGCATGCATATTAAAAGCAGAGATATCTGATAGAAAAGTAAGTATTGTTACTTCTGTTGTAGCATGAAAATTCATCTTTGAAACTTGATAAAAGAAAAGCGCCGACACAAGATGCAATTTGTCATTCAATTTTCATCCTATTTTTTCAATCGATTCACTTTCGACAAAAATCGTACCGTGTGACCGCACTTTAAAATTCAAGAAAAAGTTTAAATTAATTACAACGTCACAAGGATCTAACACCCTAAAGACTGACTAAAATCCTTTACATTTAAGTATTTTCTTCTGTTAACTGTAATGGCAAAATTACGCAGTACAGTTAAGACTACACATTCAATTTCAATTTGAATTCTTTATTTCAAAAGACATACGACTTACAGCATTAATACAATATACGTATATATTAAAAAAAGGAAGTAATCGAAAATGGACGATCAGTTCTTGTAAATGCATATCCATATCAAACCCATGCAGTAAAGCAATTATAGTCATACCAAACAATATAATATTTTCAAATCAGCAAATGACACACCATTATATGATTAAATCATTTCTAAGCGCGAGGGCTTTATAGATACATTTCCTTAAATTTCCCTAAATTCTTTAACATTATTCACACTTAATAAGTGTATTAACATTTGTACAAACATTAGGCATGCAATCAAAAAATTATATTCGTCTTCAATTTTTGTAGTACATATTTTCCAGAATCTTTTGTCTCTTGTTATATTTTTATCTCTACCCGTTTCAATAAACAGATTATGCAAGGACAACATCATTTTAGAAATACATTTTTGCATAATTTTGGTGTTGATTTTTTCTAAATAAAACTGCAAGCAAAAATTATCAACTAAATGCGTGTAGATATAACATTTTAATTCTATTTGCATTTTGCTCTCTATAAGGTTTGTATAAAGTGGTCATTAAGTCTTTGACGAAACATTGGCAGACAATTAAGACAACTCAGATTCCTTTGGTCGTTCTACATATACCCCAGTCCCAAACAATGTAATTGATCCTCGATAAATCTTGCCCAACTTTGATAATTTTTTCACAACAACAAAAAGATCAATCTTAAGCATCTCTTAATATACAATTCTTAGACTGCACTAATTTAAACCAAAATTTAAACACTCGATAGAAACGAATAAGATGCATAGGTAGATGCCCTGTCTCAAAGTACAACATGGATGTGTTTGTAGTTTTACGGACACCGAGTACATACCGTAAACACCCAAGATGAACCTTTTCAATGCCCTGGCCTTTAATTTGTGTGATCCCCAGACATCACACCCATAGTTTAATATACTACACACGTAGAGATCCAAAAAAGAAAACAACGTACAATGATTTAAATAAAGCTGTTTCATTGTTGGTTTGAGAGCGAACATAGCTTTGCAACCTTATGTTGTTAATTGTTTTTGGATAATCAGGAATTTACAGTTAAAGCTAAGCACACTGCCTAGATAAACAAACTGGTCCACTATTTCTCCGTAATAAGCACCTTAAAATTCAAGATAAAGTTTAAATTAATTATAACGTGATGATGGATCTTACACGAAAATGACTGAACAACAAACAATAAACAAACAGTGTGGGAGATAAGGAGTGCTTGCTGCATTTGTATTTAATTGTAAATATTGTTAAATAAGAATGTGGATTTTTTTCTTTTTAGAAATATTTTGAGGAGATTAGTAAAGGAGAAAAAACAACACCATCTTTGAGAGTTCAAGTATTGGACTTAGTCCATATGTATCGTCTCGCTGCAAAATCAAAAGTATGTCCTTTATGAATATACATTTCAAAGCTAAGAATATAAAAAAAAAACAGTGATAAATTAAACTAGAATGATTTTTGACGCAAATTTTTTTCTTTAACTTTATAATTATATTTTTGACACCTTTCTTTGTAAATTAATTAATGATACAAGTAAAATATAATTAAAACATTAACCCTTATTCCGTTTTATTAACAAAAAGAAAGGACATAGCATAAATATTGCCTACAAATATTACGCACAACCCTCATATAAACTTCCCTTTAAATCGTTTATTTATTATTTTTTTGTAGGCCTGAAAATAATTTACAAATGAGGTAAGTGATTCGATTTGATTTTAATTTTTTAATTTTTAAAACATATCCTTAACATATCCTTAAAAGTCGCCTTGTAATTATCAAACTACTGATATGTTTATTCGGGAATCAATAACTATTATTACAAATTATATGCTTGCATTTAAACGATGTTCACAGAGTCGATAAATAATGTAACAAAGCTTATCTCCTTTCATTAAATGATCAGGAATTTTGATGCTCTATGATTGGTGTAGACGCCCGTTTTCTTGGGTGTACATAAGAATGAGTTCACCTTTAATTGAAGGTCCCGGATGTTTATTCAGGCTATCCCTCTTGACCAACCATAGCTTTGTATACATTTTCTTCGACCAATCAAATTACATGTCTTAAAGCATGTGTCATGAACGAAAAACATGACAGGCACCAGTACTAAGCTTAGTCTATTTTCTTTTGTAAATTGATGAGTATTATTGTTTAATAGTATAGTTGTCCACTTTAAGATGATTCTTAAGCCGGTAAAATATGATAAATTGCGTTATACTACGCATTATATAATGAGTGCTTATATTTGATTGTTGATAGAGCTGAGGTGTCAAAATGTTTTTTAAAATTTCCGATTATTCAATAAAACAGCTATCTACTTTTGGATCTGCGATCATCTTGTGACTATGCGGACCTGGTAAGGTATTGGTTATCCTCAACTATGGTAAACCAATAGCTGATCAGGTCTGTAAAGACCCGAGTTTACCTCATCAAAAGTCAATAATTGTATAATATCGGTTTGTATCACACATTTCCTACCGATTAAAGAAGAGCGGAAAACTCATTTAATATGTAGACCGCCTCCGAAGAGGAGGGTAATGATCTTAAGACCAAGCTATATCCATTTCTAACTTAGACAATGGATATATGCATTTTCGTAAGGTACATATCTTGTGGGTCAAAATCTCATGTAATGGATATTCCATCTGACAACCAAAACATTTTGTGAGATTTAATTTTCCTGATAAGCATTGATAAGCCATAGAAATCTGTATGAATTCAGGTAGTAAATAAAAAATCAAGCGGAAATTATTTTCTTACATTAAATTTATTTGGTAAAAGAGCAATAATTCATATACGAGGGTCATTCAAAAAATACGTAGACAATGTCGTCCACCATCATATCAATGAAGATCAACACAATTTAAAACGTAAGAACCTATATACTGTCGGTGTATAAAGTTTCATTAAATTTGATTAAACGGAACACGTGTAAGACAACTTTAGATGCAATATGTTTTGTCACCACGGAGCACGGTTAACAACACTGTGTCCTGAAAAACAACGCCCAAGAAAGTTTCTCAAAAATACTCTGCCTTTTCTTTGCATAGACGGTTTGTAGACTCCTCCTCATTAATAAATTTGTATCTATAACACTTAACACCAAGTTTGCTAACAAGTGTTTGAATGGCTTAAGTTAGATTGTCAATATTTTCAATTTTTTTACCGCGTAACTTTGCTTTCACAAGTTCCGAAAAAGTCAATCACACACGAAGTTTCACGACGTTACTTACTCTTTTGACAAGATTTTTAACTATAACCTGGACTGTGCACACCATTTATCGTCCGATTCAAAGTCTTCAACACTCAAAAAATAGCCTTCTCTATTGTAAACAATTGCACGGATCATTTATTATTGATTTTCTGATTCCTCAGTATTCTCAAAGTTTGTTGTAAAGGTTTTCGAATGCAAAACTAATTTTATCGCTCCTTGCTGCTCCGTAACGTCTTCTAATGTCATTTTTTAAATGAAGTCTATATGTCTTTAGAAATTGATATCTTTTAAACAAAGCCATGTATTAGAGTAAATTTAAGCAAGTAATAGAACAAAACTTAATTTACACATTTCAATTTTATACATTTTAAGCGCCATTTATTGGAGTTATGGCTATAGACATTATAAAGTGTATAATTAGCAAATAGCTCAATTTTAACAATTATCAAGGTATATTCAAATTTTTTTGCTAAAGTCATTTGAATTGATTGTTAAAATATGTGTATTTAATTTGGTGAGAAAGTTATGACAAAAGTCTACGAACCTTTTGTATGACCGTCGTATTTTCAAATATTGATATCTTTTTTAAGATTTTTCTCCTTTTTTTATAAAATAACTGTTTTTTTTCATTTTAGAGAAATTGGACCAGACTGACTTTTTCATATCAATAGTGAAATTTGAGACGAAGAATTGGAGTCTTTTAGCAATGTTTTGTGTGGCATAATTAAGATTTGATATGTTTCACTTCAAAAAAGACATATACTTTAATCTCTATCTTGTTTGACATTTTATATAGGAGCAAAATTAATGTAAATATGGTATTAAAGGACTTTTGAGAAGAAATTAATTTAGTGACAGCATTATCAGCATTTTATAAGGATTTTATAAGGATGCACGAAGACTATTTTAGCTTTATATGGGACAGAACAATTTTTAATTTGATACAGATAAATCTTTATTGATTTCAAAGGATCGATATTTTTTATGAAAAAAAGACAAAAATGATAATCTGAAAGTCATTTTATTTCTTCACTTTATTGGTGTTTAACATCTAAGAGGTTTAGAGATGCAAGAAAGCGCTAATGTTTTAATCAGAATGACCGGTCTTTTTGTAATTTCACGTACTTTTTTTCAAGCTGGCATTTATTCCTAATGACGATTTTGACAACCAATGTACATGAATAATGATTTAAGGTCCTTTTTCATATCGAGAATAACTGACATAAAAAAGTATAATGTATTTATGCTTTAAATATAGTACTACTTTTCATTTTTAAAGGAATATGAGCTGCATGTTTGACATCAGATAATTTTGTTGAAAAAATTTAACTAACTATTTAAATGAGATAAATATAGAAGATTTATAGACAGCAGTTGCAAATATTTGCGATGGTAGGGCTTTGATTGATAATTTCTTATATAATACTGTATATATGTTCCATTTTACAGAAATATTTCTTCTAAAACACTTTAAAATCTAAATTTGGTCTTATTGATGATAATGGTTAAAACTACATACAAGTTCATCATACATGTAAAAACATATTTTATTGGAGAAATAATATTCTAAAAATGCAGCTCACATTGCTTGAAACGGTGGTTAAATTTATGACTTATTAAAACCAGCTATTTGTTAAAAATAATTTTCTAAGTAGTCGTGTGGTATGCAGATCATCAATGGAAAACGCAATACTTTAGGAAACAGTAGTGTTTTGTCAACCATAATGTAAATTACTAGTCTTTTCAAGAGACATCAGACATGACAAAGTTCAGTGCTTCCTAAAAGTGTATGACAAGAACTAAAGACTTTACCAGGTGCCAAAAAATGTATCATCAAAGTATATATACTGAGCAAATTAAGTTAAGCAATTTAAGATATTTTTTATCATACAAAGAAAAAAATATAGACACAACACTTGAAATGAAATTGTGATGTAAGCTTGTCATCAAATAACAAAATCAAGCAATTTTTTTCTACAATTGTGTGCTATCGTAAAACGTGTTTCATGCGATATGCGGACGGACATTGTCCATGCGAAACGGGATTGTTGATGACGTTGAGTTAGTGGTACTGCTGTGAGAGGTTTCGAGTACGAAGATTTGCTAAACCTTGCTGGTTTGTTACATTTTATCCACATAACCTCGGTCCAGTTGCACGGCGTTATACGTCTGCAACTTTAGAAACAGCCATGAAACGGTTACGTTTCGACGTTGTTACAGTAAAACGATCTTGCCTAACCGTCGTTTTTCATGGACGTCCTGACATCTGACGGTCAGTAACAGGTTAAGTGGTATGGGATCGGTTTAAAAGTCGACATATGGTGATGGGGTGCGCAAGAAAGTTTTTTAGCGACATCTTTTTGTGAGCAACCAACGTAAGCATATCTATGGTCGTTTGGCGTTAATTTTTTTTTAAAGTCCTGGGCGTTTCTAATTTGGGGTTTTTACAATTTTTACCGGTTTTCTTTTACAAGCATGCTCGAAGGGCTTTTCAAGTTAAAAGAATTCTTCCACGTTCGAGCATAGCCTATTATATTGTTGAATTGTCATAACGCTAGAATACGCAGTTTCCGCGCGTCACTGAAAAAAAGTGTGTATTTCCCCTTTTCTATATTGATTTTAAGTAGAAACAAAATAAACCAATGGCAGAAATATATTTAAAATCATACCTATTGAAAAACAATTGCTTAACTAATTTTTCTCAGTACATATACGTTTTCCACCAGAAATCAGACAGACTTTTATATCAAAAATATTCGTTAAAGATTTTAAAAGTCCGGTCATAAAATAAATTATGATAGATAATCTTCACGATTAAAATCGTTTTCGAAGTGTCCATTACAATGTTTAAGTCAGCGCAAATAAACATAAATTTTTACTTAGGTAAGGAGCTTAAAGACATCTTTAGTGTTTAACAAAGGGGAAATGTAAGAAGTGTATATGTTGAAATTTTATGAATAATAAATGTATTATTATTGTACCTTACTTACAAGTATGTGTGACAAATCTCGCTTAAGAAACAGAATATTATTTATTTAATATCTATATAAGATTTAAGATATAATATAGTGTTTATCTTTATTAGGCATCATATTGATTCTTTTCTTTCATTTTTTGTCTTCTTTACCATTCATGTCTGTCCTTTGTATATTGATAAATTTTGCAAATTGTCATTAATTTTTATCATCAAAATTCTCAATTATATTATATTATATATCAATATTATTTTAATATTCAAGTTTGTTATTTTTGCCAATAACATTTATATATATATATATACAATTTGTACAAATTTATATTCAATTAAATAAGGAAACAAACCTGAAAAATATTTTTTGAAAGAGATATTTAAAAAAATTATTTCAATACCCCTTTAATGTGGTTTTTAGCCTCCTTTTCTTGATTAATATTATTTGAAAAGTGCCTTTTTGTTTTAGTTGCTTTCACCTGCGACAATTTCGATAGAAATAAAATTCGTATAAAATTCATAAATCATAATTACAACTGTTGAACCTTTAAAAAGTTGGTTATATGCAATTCCATACAAATTAAGTCTAAAATTATTTCTAATGTTCTACTGAACGGGCAAAAATAAATCTATGTTTGACTGCTGAGTGAGATGTGGGACCTGTCGAGGACTGCTTACGTCACAGAGTAGGTATATGCATATATAAAAATATTTTTAAGAAATGGGTAACAATACATTAACCGAGTCAGGCAAACAGTTTGGTTTTTGGGTCCAACAAAATGCTTGATACACTCGAACTTAGTTAATACGTGTATAGTGTTCCTCTTTCATCGGCATTGCTTAGTTGGTTTTTGAGTAAATTCCAAACAAACAAGCCCAGTAAAACTCACCAGAATTGACGTCGGGAAAATCAAATCTAATTATATTCGTATACTCTCTGTAGTGGAAAAAGTGAAAGAGTAAGTTAGGAATATACGGTTATAGTGAAATTTTGAGATGACATCTTGAGAAATTGAGAAATAAATCGAGAAACAGTGCACTTTTTTGTGCACAATTAATATACAGTTTTTTTAACGGGTGGCACTGTAGCTCTCCGGTCTCAGGCGGTGTGTCAATATCTATATTTTTCGGAGAGCTACAGTTCTGCAGCAAATAGCAAATATATGATTAAAAAATAATGTATTCATAAGATTAAAATTTAATAATCTGGTCAGTCCCCTTTAGACTTTTAAGGTACAATGAAACTCTGATAAGAGAGATAACTCTTAATGACAAAAAAGTCTATTATTCCTTTAAAATTTGTTAATTTTAAGTGCCTTTGTTTCAAATTTTGCCCCGCAAGCTATGATATAATTGTTTGTATTTTATTCAGCATATGCATTTGCTTTGGAAAATTATAAAAGTTAAAGAAAAATTTCATATTAGTGAGCAGAGGGTTTATCTTTGGGTACGTCTTTATTTATATATTTTCAGATCTGCACTGGTTATTACAAAGTTAATGTTCTCCAAGATTGTTGAACTCCTTGAATTGTTGATGATTAAAAAAATCAAATTAGAAAAAACATAAACAGAATAAAAAGAAAATGTATATTTGTTTCAAGGTTTATTTTTTTATTTATACTACCAATATAGTTTCTGCGCAGTGACGCTAAGTGTTATCGTATTAATCTCTGTAAACATGAATGCCCTAGAGCTCTACTTTCATTTTCAATATCACGTCCTAGCGACTTGTGTGACATTACAATTACACCACTCAAAAGTGTAAGAACATTACCTCAGATGGTTCAATCACAGCTACTTTCCCTTTTCCCAGGCGATGACAAAATCTCGCGGCAGTGCTTCATCCCCCAGTCCCTCCGCCCACCACCACAAGTTTGTAAGATTTTTGATCCGCGCGTGAAGAGGAAGAAAACATGCGGCTAGAGTACGATATGCACGCCCCTCTGCCATTTTGCAAGAAAATCCTGACCGACTGCATTCCCTTTTCTCGAAGACCGCCCACTGTACTTAGTGACAAGAGCTATATTGATCGACAATAAGGCCAACAATACTAACACGTATATAGGTTGATCTTGCAAAAAAAGTCTCTTGACCTTCAGATTGCAAAAATCTCACGGGGATTATGTAATGTGTTTTCTGATTGGTTACTATTCGACACGGATGGATTTTTGCGTCTGCGGGAGACACGTTTCAAGTTCATTGTTTGTTCGTGTGTTTAATTGCCCGTGTCTCGTGTGTCATTAGTACTGACTATAGCAATCACGTTCATCACGTTTCAAGAACTAGTGGTAATATATAATGATTGTGTTTTTGCCTTACCGAGCTCGAGTAATCGAATCATCTGAGATACATAAACTCCCGTATGCTGGTGATGAAGTTATACCGGTATATTGCTGCATAAGCAAGGGAAGTTGACTATAGGAAAGTTAAAGTCATCACGTTTATCATAGAGCTCGCGGTAATTAGACAAACAATAGAATGCTTTTTATGCACCCGGATCGATAGATCCGAAGCGTATATTGTTTTTGTCCTGTCTGTCTGTCTGTTTCTTCGTTTGTTTGTTTGTCTCGCAACTTTAACCTTCGCCATAACTTTTGAACCATGAAAGGTAAAAACTTCATATTTGGTTTGCTTACTTCATTAATGAGGTGCTTTCAATTGACACCAATAATAATGACCTTCTGACCTGAATGTGACCTGTCTGCTAAAATTAGCTTTTCTGTCTGCAAACTTTAACCTTCGCCCTGACT